TTTAAATTTTATTTAATAAATAAGAATTAATTTCAATATGAATACTTCCTTACATTAAAGGAGGACCACTAATGGTCCATGTAATACCAATTCCTAAATGGAGGTAAGGTACATAATATACATTAAAATGAAAGTTAAAACTTGATTGTCGTCATATTTGTACATCAATCTTAATTCGGTCATTTTGTTTTAAGTTGTGTCAATTGGATCCTCAATTTTGAAAATGTAATGCAATTTAACTCTTTTCGTTAATACAGACGTTAACTCAATGTCACGTGTCAGTTCATTTTTTTAATTTTTTTTAAAAAAGACAGTCACATGTCAATTGAGGATCATGCCACGTGACATATATAGTGTGCCATGACAGTGACAGTAACACATGTCACAATTGAGAAAAATATCATGTGAACTGAATTTAGTTTTTTATTTGTATTATGTCTCACTTTAGTCCATTTTTTTTAAAATTAGAGAAATTTTATCTCTCTTCAAAGATCAAATTTAACTTTTGTATCCATATATAATAATATTTTCACTAAAATTAATATTTTTGTTAAATATTTTTAACAATATTAAATTTATATTTTACATTAAACTTTATTTAAATTTTGATTCAAATATTAATATATTAATAATTTTTATACAAATTTTAGAGTTGGTTTAAAAATAAAAATATTATAAATTTAAATATAAAATTTTAAAATAGTTTTAGAACAATTTAAAATAAATATATTTAAATTTTCAAAAAAATTAAAATAAAATTTAGTGTAAAATATTAATTTAAATAAACTTAATCTTATTAAAAATATTAATTAAAATATAAATTTTAATAAAAATATTATCATAACAATTATAACATTTATTAGAGGTGGTAAAATTGGTCAATTGAAATATAAATTTAAATAAATTTAATATTATTAAAATTTTATATTTGAATTTATAATATTTAATTTTTAAACGAACTCTAGCCTTTGTATATAAATTATTAATACATAAATATTTGAAACAAAATTTAAATAAAGTTTAATGTAAAATATAAATTTAATATTGTTAAAAATATTTAATAAAAATATCAATTTTAAATAAAATATCATTATACATCTATATAAAAGTTAAATTTTGTTGTATTTAGGAAAAAAATGAAATTTCTCCAATTTTAAAAAATTAAGACTGAGATGAGACAAAATACAAATAAAAAGCCTAAATTGAGATTTTTCACACACTCTCTTTGTTACATGAGAGGATCCTCATTTGATACATGACAATTTTTTTTTTAAAAAAAATAAAAATATAAAAAAATTAAATTAAATTAAAAAAATAAAAAACCATAACATATGATATTGAATCAACGTCATCAATTCTGTATCAGTAGAAATTGTTAAATTAGATCACATTTTCAAAATTGAAGATAACTTAAAAGGAAAGAACTAAATTAAAATTAAACTTAAATGTTTATTTTGTCCCATAGATGAATTTCTCTTTAATATCGTATGAATAAAGTCCAGTTAAAGTGACAGTAACGCGTTAACTTCCTCTTAACTTCCATGGACTTTCCTCCTCACTCTCCTATGCTCTTCCTAACATCCAACTTTTTCTCTCTTCTCTCTCTTCTCTCTCCTCTTCACCGCATCAGTGTCACCATTCTCAGGCAGCACACCCTTTACACGGTCCCAAAAGCACCATGACCAATGACCTTATTAGCACTGAACCCCTTAGTGGCAAATTTCAGGCAGCACACCCTTGTACACCGCCTAACAGCACACTCCTTCAACCGTTTTCCAAAACCGATATGGCTGGTTGCCAAACATCTTGCCGTGAAAACTGTTCTTGCCTTGCTATGTTGTTCCAGAGAAGTTCGGGGAATTGTTTCTTGTTGGACAGTGTGGGAAGCTTTCAGAAACCTGCTTTTGATCCTGGTTATGTTTCTTATATCAAGGTCTCCAGTGAAGGAGGTTCTGGCTCGGGTTCTGGGGGCGGTGGAAGTGGCAATAAGCACACCGTAGTTGTTGTGATAATTGTCTTAGTAACCTTTTTTGTCATTTGTGGTCTTGTCTTTTGGGGAGTTAGATACCAAAGAAGAAAGCAAATGGTGCCCGAGTCTCCTTCAGATGGCTCAGAAGAGACCAATTTCTTGGAAAATTTAACCGGTATGCCAATCTGTTACAGCTACAAGGACCTTGAAACTGCCACCAATAACTTTTCTGTGAAGCTTGGGCAAGGGGGTTTTGGGTCAGTGTATAAGGGAGTTCTAGCAGATGGAACTCAAATAGCAGTGAAGAAATTGGAAAGTATTGGACAAGGAAAGAAAGAGTTCAGGGCCGAAGTATATACAAACAATAAGTCTAAGCAGAATTGAGTTTGATATGATACGATCTCCAACATAAAAACTTGAGGTTTGAGATTTCTAATCCATGCAGAAGGCTTTAGAAGTATATACAATTTTTTACTTGAAGAACAAACAACGATTGAATAGACAATGATGCTGCTCATTGAATATGACTAAGAAAGGCAAATTTGCAGAAAAAAATTACAAGCATACATGTGTAGAGGTACTTATTTTATCTTGCCACCTCCATCCTATGCATTGCAAAATCAACAGGAATTCAATATTATATTCTATAATATGCAGATTAGTTTTATTGAGTCTCAACTTTAGGAGCAGTTTCCTTCAATGCAAGCTTTCGTTTATTTTGAATTTGGTGGACAAATTCAGAAACTAATACATGTAACCTCACAGTAGGCTTACGATTAGAAGGGATAGCATTCCCTAACCACGCCCTTCTTAATGCACGAGCTAGAAACCTTTCACCGAATTGATTATGAGTGGGGCATGCAGGAGGAACCATGGTTTTCAGTACTGGCTTATTACAAAATGAACCCTGTTGCCAAACTAAATAAAGAAAATATTTGTGTCAGTAAAGTTGTCTGCTCCAGACATTGGTACGTATTTCACAGAAAAAAATCTCAGAAATGTTTCATGCGTGTGGCAAATAATATATATAATTTAATAATAAAATGAAGGAACATTGCCCTATTAAAGACAAAAAGATGGGTTTTGAGAAGGAACCTGACAAGTTTAATTGATTCTCAAAGGCAATAATACATATCGAAAAGAAACCATTAAGTCACTGCCTGTCTCTGCTTGGTTAAGTATGTATCTTGATTTCCATCAAGAAAGATATAAAAGGGAAAGAGATAAAACTTTAGTTGGAAGAGAGAGAAAAAAAAAAAAGCTGAATATTACATAGAAAAAACTGAAGAACAGAAGAGATATCACTCTTGTTCTTAACTTAACGGATATAATTTTATTTATATAATTTTCATAATATAAAGACTCGATGTCTTTAATTTTAAAACCGAATGCAAAACAGAAATTTACCTAGACAAAATAAACATTTAAGCCTTAAAATTATTTATGATTATCCAAAAATTTTAACTTAAAACAAATTAATATTTACTTTTAGGATTACCAAGTACTAACATATTTCAAATGTTTCCGCTGTTTTAGAATCTCACCTCATTGTTTGAACTGAACATATATTTTCCAATTATTTGGTAGCTATGTTTTGGATTTTTTTATAATATTGAAATAATTTAGGTTAAAATAGACATTATTAGAATAAAATATAAGTAAATATTATAGATATCACATATACTTAAAAAGATAAGTAAATATTATAGATATTATATATAATTAAGTTTTTAATTTTCAGCAATAATATTATATAAAATTGAATTAGACATAATTTTACCATCTTCATATTACATTAGCCATTATTAATTTATTTTTGTTTGATTTATTGTGTCCTTTTTACTTATTGAACCACTTATAAATATCCAATCTCATACACAAAATGTTTAGATTTCATTATCTTAATTAATTTTGTAATTATCAAAGCAGTTTTATTTATTTTAATGATGTTGTTGGATTTGTTTACATGTTTGAGTTAATTTCAAAATAAATAATATATTTTAAAAAACCTTATTTCTACTATAATTAAAATAAGAGATAAATATTTTATATCAGTTATGACGATAATTATAGTAAAAATGCGTTTAATGTTATACATGTTGTATGTTATAATTATAACTTACGCATAATAGATTATATATTCTAATTTATTTTTAACAATAATTGGTTTTAAAAATTAAACTTATCATTTCTAAAGTTAACGTAAACCTTTTTTTACACCATTATTGATTCAATAAAAAATGTTATGTAATTAAAATAATGAATGTAAAGAAATTATTTTGCCAAAGGGACAAAGAACCCAAATTTTTGTTATAAGATTTATCCAACTATTTTTCTTGTTCAATACACCTGAGTATCTATTTCTCACTGTCCACAATCAAATCAAGAAGAGTACATTAGCAACCTTCTCATAAATTATTCAACCCTTTTTATCGACACTTTCTGAATTTAAGACGGAAGAACATTCATATCATAACCATAAATAATAATTTTTAATTTTATAGTTTTTAATGAGATTATTAATGATTCTATTATCGTATCCATCTAATAATTATAATTTTCATTGCCTGTTACCTATGATAAATAGTACTCATTATTCATATTAAAATTTAAATATATTATAATTAGAATGGTAAATAAATATTTGATTCTAAAGTATAATAATATTTCTAAAATATATTACATTAGGTAAAGTCAGTCCTAAAGTTGCACGTGTATTGAAAATAATAGTGATTCATAAATAATACTTGTTTTAATCAAATTACTTATATTTATATCACTTATTCTTATTTATTTTAAATATATCATTAAATTTATAAACTTTACCGAGTGCCTACAAAAGTATTAAATGTAGAATGCTTTTGGGATGTACTAATTAGAAATTTATTCCTTCCAAAAATAATAAACCTCTTCGTGCCTTCCTTTTCCACCGAGAATCGCGACTCTGCAGTTTTAATTCAGACGTTTAAAAAATAAAAAATTATAAATATTAAAAGTCAAAACGAGGTCGTTTAGCTTCTGTCACGTCGCAAACACAACATCCACACTCACTCTCGAGAAAAAAAGTAGCGAAGGAGCTTTATTGTGTGAGTGAGTGGTAAAGTACGTTTTCCTTCAACGTTCCAATCTGTCAAAGTCCCAGGGCGCACAAATTAAATTCCAAAGCCAAAGTAAAGAATAAGGAGCTGTGAACAGAGAAGACGCCACGATTAGTGAAGCGGAACGCAGATTGAGAAAGGGTTTTGCTTTTTGAAGAATCGCGTTCGGAGTCAGAGATGGAGTTATCGACTCCCAATTCCTCCAAACCCTTATCCATTACGCCTGGTTCTAGGGTTTTGAAAAGCCCTCTCACTGATGAACAGATCTGGAAGCGCCTTCGCAACGCTGGCTTCGACGAGGAATCAATTAAGCACAAGGACAAGGCTGCCCTCATAGCTTATATCGCTAAGCTCGAAGCTGAGGTTCGTAATTTTCTCCCTCTCTAACTTATTTTTAATTTTGAATTGTACTTTCATTGAATTAAATTGGCGGAACCGTTAATTGGACTATGCAATGCGATCGGATTAGTGAGGTAGTTTGTTAGGTTGGGAGATTTTAGTTTTGAGTGGGTTTTTGATATTGTGTGCGTTTGGGTTATTTATTTAATACCCATAAATAGTCTTTTGAGATGACCAATCATTTATTTGGGTTCTTCTTTAAGATATACTTCAATGATGAATTTCACTGGTCGACGTCGCTTCATATGGTATCTTGATTATTCGAGTGCGAGATCTTCTTTTTGTGTTATTACTTCTTTGGTGCAGTCCAACCTGCGTGATAATTATGGTGGATAGGTCCTCTGTTCATGTTCATTAAACAAAATTGCTGGTGATTAGCAGCACCGGTAATGTTATGATTGGATATAAAGCCAAAGCCCTTGTTCAGATTTCTGTACTATTGGTGTGAAACTGTGTATTCGGGCTATTTGTACTTTTGTAGAATGCTTTGAGTTGTGTATTTGAAGTGTGTAGTTAATTTTATATACATTGATAGTGTGTAGTGGCTTGAATTCAATGTAAACCTACCATTGATTTATTGCAGTGGAAGTGGAGTATGTAAATCCTAGAGTCTTCACACCGAGAGGGCTTTTCCCTAAACACCTATTAAACACTTAAGAGTCCAAGGGGTTAGTTTCACAGCTATGAATGTGAAGATATCTTGTCAAAGACAACACAAATTTAAACTCTTTATTCAATTTGTTTCCTAATAGTTTATAAAGTTTCCTTGTCATCTGGGTGTTAATTCAGCTGAAATCATTTGGTTGCCCACCAATTAATATTACTCTGAAATTTCCATTGCTTTTGTCGATCTTTGTGCATGTATCACAAATAGCAAAGTTTTCTTTCTTTTATTGAGTATTGCATTCTTCCCTTTTGCATTGTTTTCCTTGTCATTTGAATAGTTTTCAATTAGTTTTTCTGCTTGATTGGGTGGTTAGCATCCATCACTTGCAAAGTCAAATGAGCAAATCGAGTTGATACTTAATTTGCTAGTACTGTGAACTGGTTTTCTTTGCTATCACCCAAAGCAACACTTTACCCCTTTAATTGAATTGAATTTTCAAGTGAATGCTCCATGAGTGGTTTACGTTGTCTTTCATTTTCATTAGAGACAGTATTTCTTTTTCTGCTGTTAGTGCTAACAAAATCTATCAGTCCTTTCTAACTTTCGTTTTGACCTGTATGATGTTGTGCAGATATACGATCACCAGCACCACATGGGTCTTCTCATATTGGAGAAAAAGGATTTGGCTTCAAAATATGAACAATTAAAAGCCTTGGCTGAATCATCCGAGTTAATGCATAAACATGATTCTGCAATGAATAAATCTGCATTAACTGAATCAAGGAAACGTGAAGAAAATTTGAAGAAGACTGTAAGCATCAAAGATGCATGTATCGCTAGTGTAAGTTTATGGAATAGTTCTCCTTCTGTCAAAACCATACATGCTCACTTTTTCATATGTTTATTCTGCTCACACTTCTAGGGGGTATTTTTTGTCTTTTGTAGCTTGAGAAGGCCTTGCATGAGCTGCGTACAGAAAGTGCTGAAATAAAGGTTGCAGCCGAGAGTAAATTTGCTGAAGCAAGCCAATTGATAGACGAAGCGCAGAAAAAAATTACAGATGCTGAAGCAAAGGTGCGTGCTGCAGAATCTCTGCAGATGGAGGCTAACCGATATCATAACTCTGCTGAGAGGAAGCTTCGTGATGTTGAAGCCCGTGAAGATAATCTCAGGCGGCAGCTAATGTCTTTCAAGGCTGAGTATGTTACTTACTATCTTCCAAGTTCACATTTGTGACTTTGAGCGTATTAAGAGTTTCCTCAACAAGCAGAAAATCTTATCTTTCAAGTCATAGTATGTTACTCATACTTGCAACAGTTGCATGAAGTTAGCCTGTTACTTATTATCTCCCTAGTTCATTTTTGTGATTTGGAGCACATAAGCAGATTAAGTTGTGCCTTGACATTGTATTATGTCGTTGGTGAATCAAATTATTTGTCTGCTTCAGGTTCCGTAGTTGAATATTCTTATACCTAATATAACCACTCAATTTTTAATTCAAACAATTGACAGGATTATGCATGACGCAACTAATTAAGTGTTAACGTACCTCCTTTTAACACTTAGCAACATGTTAGCTGAAATGTGATTAAGTTTTGTGGTTATAAGTTCTGCACCCTGTGTGTGATTATAATCTCTCTTTGATCATTGAAAATGTTGATAACTTCATGTTATTCTAAAAATTACCTTGATCTTTCTCCCTCTCTCCTTTTCTCTCCCCAGTTGTGATGAAAAAGATAAGGAGATGATTCTTGAGAGGCAATCCCTTTCTGAAAGGCAAAAGGCTTTGCAACAAGAACAGGAAAGATTACTTCAATCACAATCCTTGTTCAACCAGAGAGAGGAACAATTTTTGAGTAGATCCCAGGAACTAAATCGTCTTCAAAAAGAGTTGGAGGACACAAAAGCAGAAGTTGAAAAGGAACGTGAAGCCCTACATGATGAGAAAACCACTCTAAAATTGAAGGAATCCACTTTAATGCATCGTGAGGAGGTTTGTTAATATATCTCAGTTGACGATATTAGTATTAACAATTTTATCTGTCTTGTTCATGTGTGGATTTATGTTTTGTGAAAACAGGAACTTACTAAATGGAAAACTGAGCTGAGTAAGAAAGAACAAGAGTTACTTGAATTTCAAGCGAAACTTTCTAATATAGAATCTGTAAATTTTCTCACCATTGTTTACTTTCCATTTTAATTTCTGATCCTTTTCTCTATATCATTATTCTTTTATTGTTGTTGGGAAAATGTAGGATGAAACTCAGAAAGTTATTGCTGGTCAGGAAGCCGCACTGAAAACTAAAGAATATAATTTGGAAGTTGAGCTACAAATGAAGCGCAAAGTGGTTGAATATGATATTGAGACAAAGAGACGGGCTTGGGAGTTGAAGGAGGTTGATCTTAAACATTATAAGGATGAAATTCTGGAAAGGCAGCATGATTTGGAAGTTTTGTCAAGGTCACTGAGTGAGAAGGAGAAGGATCTGAAGGATCTGTCAAGTGCTCTTGAAGAAAAAGATCAAAGGTTGAGTGCTGCTGAGAAGGAGTTTGAGCTAAACAAAGTGCTTTTGCAAAAGGAGAAAGATAATATTGAACAAGCAAAGCAAGATCTGCAGAAGTCGTTGGCATCACTGGAAAAGAAAATAAGAGAAGTTGACATTGACAAGGAGAGACTTGAGGCTGTGAAAAGTGAAACTGGCGAGTTGTCAATTTTGGAAGTGAAACTAAAGGAAGAGATTGACCTTGTCAGATCTCAGAAGTTGGAGCTTTTGGCTGAGGCAGACAAGCTCAAAGCTGAGAAGGCAAAGTTTGAAGTTGAGTGGGAGCTTCTTGATGAAAAAAAGGAAGCGTTGCAGAAAGAAGCAGAATTCATAGCAAAGGAAAGGGAGGCGGTTTCCACTTTTATTAAGAATGAGCGTGACCAACTAAGAGAAGAGAAAGAAAATTTGCGTAATCAGTACACCCAAGACTTGGGGTTTCTTGCCAGTGAACGTGAAAACTTCATGAACAAGATGGCACATGAACATGCTGAGTTGTTTGGCAAGATGCAGCAAGAGCGGGCAGATTTCTTGCGGGACATTGAAATGCAAAAACAGGAGCTGAATAACCTCATTGAGAAGAGACGCGAAGAAGTTGAAAGTTATTTGAAGGAAAGAGAGAAGGCTTTTGAGGAAGAAAAGAACACTGAACTTCACCATATTAATGCTCGTAAGGAGAAATTGACAAAAGAGTTGGAACAGGTTTCCTTGGAAATGAAAAGGCTTCAAACTGAGCGGGCAGAAATAAATTTGGATCGCGAGAGGAGAAATAGGGAATGGGCTGAACTTACTAAGTGTATTGAGGAACTTGAGGTTCAAAGGGACAAGCTCCAAAAACAGAGAGAACTGTTGCATGCTGATAGAGTTGAAATTTTTGCTCAAACTGAAGAATTGAAAAAATTAGAAGATTTGAAAGCTGTCTCTGATGATAATGCTATCACTGAAATGCTTAAATCTGATATGGAGTCTAGCCAAAAGAAAATATCTTCAAGGAAGAACTCGAAGCGTCAGACACCTCTCACACATGGTGGTGATAAAATTAGCAATGGGTTTGATACTCCACTTGTGGAGAAGTCATCTGCTGGATCTCCTCCTAGCCCTGTTCGATTCTCATGGATAAAACGGTGCTCCGAGCTTATTTTCAGAAATGCTCCTGTGGTTTCTGATACAGATAATGGGAGCAGCAGGCAAAAGCAGTTGGAAAATGACAAACCACTTGGTATTGGCAAGGGACAACAAACTGGATTTGCTTTTGAAGAACCTAAAGTAATAGTTGAGGTACCCTCTCGAGATGATGCTAGAAGACGTGAGATTGAATCTGAAGCGAAAGATGTGAATGGAAAAAGTGCTCTCTTGTTTCCAGATGGACATCTTGTAGGCAGACGGAAAAGAGGGAGGGGAAACATGACTAGTAAAGTTGGTGATCCACTAGTTGATCTGGGGCAAAATAAGAAATCTAGAGCGGAAGAACAAACAACTGAAAATCCTATTGACCAGGGCACTACACGCGGGTACCACTTCTTTCCACCAAATCAATTTATTTCTGAACGTATAGTTTTTCTGTATTCACAAGTAATCTAGGTGCAGTGTATATTCAGGAACTTGTTTATTGATTTTATTTTCAGTGTTGTTTCAACCCAATCAGATGTCATGAAGGTCCAGCAGGTGTTAACATCATCAAATCAAACGCAGGGTAACACTGAAGAAACTCGTGTTGTAATGGTTGATAAGGTTATTCATGTGTCAGAAGTGACTTCTGAGAAAGTTGATGCTCCCCCTATCCACAGTCGAGATCCAAGAGATAATCCGCAAAATCCTGCATTGGGAGTAGATCAATATGGAGAGACAATTGATATAATAAATTCTAAAACTAAACAGAAAGATATTTTACCCCGTGTCTCAAGGGTATCGGGAAGCACCGAAGAAATATCCAAAAGAAACAATGAGCAGGTTTCTGAGAACTGCTAGTGTTAGGTAGTGGCTTACAGTCAGTTTTCTATTTTCATATTTACTAAGGTTTCGTATCTAGGCCAAGTCTTTTCAATGTATACTGCTTTCTTTTGTTTCGTTTCTGCATAAGTTTCGCTTATATGTTAATGCAGGTGTTGTTTGACTATGGATAGGGATTGCAGGTGATGGCTATGAGTACTAGTACTGGTAATTGGTGTGGTTAAGATAAGTATATATTGGGAGTGTATGAGGTGCGTCAATTAATCAAATTAAGCATGTTTAGCTGTAAATTCTTCTCAACTGTATCTCCTGTTCATTCTCATTACAGACAGTGTTGGTTCATGGAATATGCTATGTTCATTGAATTCATCCTCTTGAAATGCAGGATGTCATAGGGAATGGATTCTTCATTTGTTAGTGACTTGGAGATGTGTAGAGCTAACTAGGTGATGTCTTCTTTGTGTACACATTTAATGGATGCAGTTGCAGATTGCTATTAGGGTGGGGTAAATTGTTGATACCATAGAGTTCGGATAATAGGGATGTTATGTACTCCAAAGAGTAAAAGAAAGTGATAAAAAAAAGGAGAAATGAGAAGTTAGAAGAGCCAAGGGTACGTTACTGTCCAGAAGTGTTGGTTGCGGGTCAGTGAGTTATTCTGGCATTGTTTTGTTTGTCGTGTTTAAGCCCTCCAGATTGAGTTTTTTTTACTTACGCTGAATGTCATCGTGTAGTCGTCAATAGTGATTTTGCTTGCGTCATCAAACACGGTGGTTAAAATCAGATATGCATCCGAAGCTTGTGTCAGGCTGGTTCTATATTTTTCTTTAGTACTATGTTGCATGCATGCCATTCAAACTTTTCGAGAGTTTGAACTTAATTACCCCACCAAATTACTTTTGTGAATAAATCATTTTTGTTTTTTTGGGTAAAAACATGTATAACTGCTTTGGATGGTAGCATTATATCCGAATCTCACTCGACTAATTGATATTAAATTAACATAGTCAAAATGTTAAATTATATTTCAAGATGCCTGCGCATTTGAATTGTTCAGCCGTAAGTTAAACTTCATACATGCGTATGTGAATACGATTGTCAGTTTTTAAATCAATTTTATGACATTTAGTTAGATATAAATGTACTTACATATAATGACTAGATTATATTGATAATCTCAAAACCAAACATTATCACTAGTCTAAAATTCATAAAGTTTTTAATTGGTACCATTAAATTCAACTGTCTTAATTAGTTGCTATTAATGAGCATGATCCAAAATACATACCATGCCACACATAATGTTGTACGATCAAATGTAAGATGTAAAAGAGTTGCAATTAACAACCATAATAACAAAAATAGTGAGTATTGGGAATGTACCGCATGTGGCGAGAAGTTAATTGTGCTTCAGGCTGTGTGCGCTTTTGCTACATGCTCTTCTAGGTTGAGCTTTTGTGTTATTTTCTTCATGCTCATCACCAATTTTAATATTTCCTTCAGGCTCACTAGTTGCAGGGGAAGGGATAGGACATGTTGGCCCTAAAAAGCATGATTGTTTCTGAGTTGTAAAAATAAAATATGTAATTGTTATATACTTAAGTAATATTAAATTAAGTATATGTTCATTTTTTATGAGAAAATTTATACTTGTTAACAATGAGTATGCAACATAATGATGATGTCATCTCATTAAACAAAATGTCAAATAACAAATACTTCAAATAAAATTAATTTTTTAAATAATAAATAAAATGGATTTTTTTTATTAAGTATTACATAAATATAAAAACAAAACAAAAAAAGGACTGAGTAATAAAAACTTAACGAAAAGTGTATAATATAATAGAAGATGGACATTATAAAGGAGTAAATTTGGAATATAGTAGGATGGAAATCTATAATCATACTACCTCTAGTTTTGAGTAATGAAGTATTATTGAAATACTTCCATTTTGTTATAGAATTAAAATAAATAAAGTTTTATTTATTCATAATTTTGTTCTTATTTTTCTTTTGGGAGATCGCACTAGAATTTGAAAACATTCACCTAAACATAAACATTATTTATTAAAATATAGGAAGACTAGGCAGCTAAAAAAAGTATTTGATCTCCTAAAAGTATTTGATATATGTTTGGAATTTGAGGTGGAGTAAAAGTAATTTCAGCAAGAAATAACTTCAGAACAAACAAGAAAAAGTGTTGGCAGACCTCATAATGATTAAGAGAAATACTCTCTTCCTCTCGTAATAAGGATATTTTTCTTAAAAAAAAAAACTAATGAGATTAAGAAAACTTTTAAATCAAAAGGGATATTATATAATTGACAAAACTAATATTATATCCAAAAAAACATAGAATCATAGTAACAACATTCTATGATATGTTATTAAAAGTATAACTAGAACGAAAAATATTATTAAATTAAAATAAGACTTGTTTCGAAAGTCATGTTTTCTGTTAGTACAGAATATTAAGGATAGAATATATTTTGATTAGAGAAAGCAGAGTTTTTGATTTGTAAACGTGAGACCTGAAACTTTGTTGTATCCTTTTTGACCCGTCTCCTCCATTTTTAACTCTACAAAAGTAACCAAGAAACAGCGTCTCTATGCAACTACTAGTTGGTGGATTCCTTTATCTACGACTTATACAACTACCTTTCTTCTTAGAATGGATACAATACTAGCACTCAACTATGCCCAAATTTCTTCACACATACACACACACACGCTTAGAACTCCATTAGATCGCCCACGCTCCACCCTTGTCATGCTTACATATATAACTTCACCCAAACCCCTGCCAACACAAATTACCCTTTCCCTTCCTTTCCAATGAAGTTCTTTAGAACTTGATTAAAGTTAAACAAATGTTAATTAATAACTTTTATTATTTAAACATTACTTATATATATAACTTTTAAGAAAATATTTATGATTTGAATGAGATAGTATGTAAATGGTTGATATAATTTGAAAGGAAAAAAGTTTTATTTATGAGAATTAATCTTTCTTAAAAATAGATTAATCTCCTTAAATTATTAATGATTGGCTTCATGAGGATTAATGATAATATATATTTTAGTTAACAACACTAACATTAACGAGGGAAATCTATGTTTGATTAATGTAAAATACACCGTATTTTTTGCATAAAGTTCAGAAAATTTAGAAATGGTTATATTTTTAAAATAAAAAATTTATTCTTGATTATCTAGGCTAGAAATCGGACATCAATTTGTGATATAAATAAAGACAAAGGCCAAATTTTGTAAAAATAAATTAAATTTAAACTCACTTTTTAACATAATATATAGTCTATATCAATAAAGTTTGTTGAGTGTATTGTATTGTTATCCATAAATATTTAGTTTTATACAATAGATATTTATGCTTAGGTCGTGATATACGTCAATCGTAAATAAAATGAATTTATAATATACAAATGATGCAAATAACACCTTCCACGTTGATTTTATATAATAAGTTAGAAAATGAAATTTAAGTGTGAATGAACTGTGGAAAAGAGTAATCTAATTTTGACAAGAGAAGCCAATGTTATAATTAATTCAGCTGGCATTCTAAAAGATTTTCCCATCTAAATCCGTGAAATTAAAATTGTTATAAAACGAGACAGCTGGAAAGTAGAAAATAAGAAGTGTGAAAGATATAAAATGGTTTCTTGGAGCTGCTTGCGAAGCCTGTGATTGACTTTGTTTACCAAGTTCAACACCGAATATATAATTAAATCATAAAAAATAAGAATAGTTCTTCTTTAGAAGTTGTCCATTTGAAGCTTCCAGGAAATTTGTCATTAGGCTTTCACTGGGTCTTACTGTCGCTGTTGCTTTATCTCTCTCTACCATTACCTATTCCTTTTTTCTCTGTTTCCGAACAATTTTCATCATTTTCAGATTTTTGACAAATTCATCTCTTTAATCTGGAGTTGATGTGACTGTTGACCACAAGCAAGGCCTTCAAATTGTCTTCGTCCAAAAGCACAAGACCATGTTCTAGAAACTTGATTGACAGAGACATTATGAAGCACTATTTCGTTTGAAGTTATCCCAAATATATATGTGCACAGTAAGCAACAATCATTTAGTCCATACAATTATTTGAATTTCATTAGTTATCTCCTACTGCTTCATTTTTATTTAGGCTAACAACTTCTTTATGTCTCATTACTGTTGAAGGTTTCTCCTCGCACAGCTGAGACGGAACTCGGGCGATTCGTATACTCAAATGTTACAAATCAAATACCATTTAGTTTAGTGATATTTAAGGCAAGTCTGAAACCCTATATGTAGGATAGAACTGATTAGGCTTTGTGTAGAGGAGAGTCAGGATCTTCTATGTACCTTAATTTGATTTGGTTATAGCCAGGTTGTTGTCCCACTTTAAAGTGGAAAATTTTATGTACTTTACAGTGGAAAATTTGTTTGGTATAACAAATACTAAGATTTGGTATACTCTACTTTAAATGTCTCTATTAGACTTTTTCTTTCTAAAATATACTTTATTAAATGTTTTGATTGAATTGGTTTGGTTGTCGGTCGTCCTTTTTTGCTATGCTCTCTTTTGATCTTTAATCTTCTCCGAGAATGCGATCTACTCCAATGAATTGTTGACCTGGCAGAAGACACTCATACTCAAGTCAAATATGTTTCATAAAGATGACTATATTTTATTAGGATAGAAAATGATCCTTGTACCTGACACTTGACATCAATTGTATTATTTATAGAGTTTGTGGTAGTCATTGATTAGTTATCAATTTATTTTGAGGAAATCAAACCCAATAATCAATAATTTATTTTACCGTATATTTATAAAGTGTAAGGTAATCTGACCTATTAATATCTGATAATTGCCCATAAAACCTTTAACTCCGATCGATATACATTAACTAATTTAGGTTTAGATTAACTAAGCAAGTACATTTAACCTATAATGTGTCAACCAATAATGTGTCAACCAATAATGTGTCAACCATGTATCCTTATATATCTATAACCTGTTATCCATGTATGTTCTCATTTGACTTTCCATTACATTAGTTTTACTCTTTTACTCATATATATATATATATATATATATTTTGTATGGCACAAATCAATATCTAAATGTTTTCTTATGACACCATGCATTAGTTTTATATTCTACGCACATTGAGATCAATGTAAAAAATTGACTTTGCTAATAAATATTTTATATACACACCAACTTTTTTTTTAAGCTCACTTATTCTTCTTTTATACACACCAATTTGAAAACAAAATCTTTAATCATATATTTAAATAGAAAATTTATTTATTAATCATTATAAACTATATATATATCAAACAATTCAAATCATGCTCATACTGTGCACCTATTATTAATATTCATGAGTTAAAAGGAGTGGATTGGAGGTAAAAAGAATGAATGAAGTCAACTCAAGATGATAGCCTTGAGCTGTAATGGTTTGAATGTTAGAAGATTGGAGGCTGTCAAAAAGATGTTTTCAAACATGCTGGCTAGGTCCACGCTACACACACATACAAATATGAAGAAAATCATTCACTAGATTCTTTCTTTCTTTCTATAATTTTTCTTGACGAAAAGATTAATTATGAATATTGGAAAGACGGGAAAATTAAGAAGAGAAGGTGGCCTACCACCAAGACCATTTCTTCCCCTTGTTTAAACTATTATGGACTTTTTGTTTGTTACCCAACCTTTCTTTGTCTGCTTTCTATGCACATGATTTCTGTAGAAAACATGGTGAAAATTAACACTCCCTCGTGCTTTATAAATACTTTGTTTGACTTTCAT